AAAAAAAAAAAAAAAGAAATTTAACTGAACAGTAATTTGAAAAATAAAATAGGTGAACGAAATGACATGTAAAAGAGAAAAGAAACACGCCAAAAAAATTGTTTTAATTTTTTCAATTAACTTTACTTACCTTCCGAATTAAAAAAATTGGTTAGCAGCAAACGTAGTTTTGCCATGAAATAGACGAAGTTGCTGTTCGACGAAAGATATACGAATGTTCAACAACCAATTTAAAGAGATGCATTGAAATGTCTCAAGTATACAAAAAATTCAAAAAACTTTGTAGATACCGAACGTCAATATTGGTTTGACGGTTCTTTTTTAGAGAACTCCGTTGCACAACGCTTCTGCAAATGGTTATCTCGATATCGCAATGTTTTTGGTAAAAAACCGAGCTGATGTTACCGCAAATGATTGTCGGCAGGTGAATTTCATTTATGAAAATTATGGTTTTTTTTCCTCATCATTCATTTTTTGAAAAAAGCTTTTTTTTGAGAGAAGAGTATAAAAATTAAGAATAAATAATCAAGTAAAGCATTTAAGAAAGGAAATAAAATAACAAAATGTAGAGAAAATAACAGCTAATTTTAAAACGAAAAAACGTTAATTTTTTCAAACCAGCTAAAAAACATTTTATAACCTTGAAAAAAGTTGAGTAATTTTGAAATGGCAGGGACACTGTATATCTGACGTTATGCCTCAATAAAATTAAGCGAGATCGTGACAAAATAATATAAGAAGTAATTATCGTGAATGTACAAAAATACGAAACCTTAAGTAGTTTGAAAAAACAGGAGAACTAAGATTACTTTCACGGCCCTTTCTGAAATATTCCCACTACAAAGTGCATTTGAGACGGATCATCTTGAAGTGGTAAGATATTTAGTAAAAAAATCGAGCAGATTTTGGTGCAAAAAAATGCAAAACAGATGAATCTCATTTTTCAAGTGATTAAGTTTTGTTTTTTTCTTTTTTCTTCGATTTTTCGACCAATGTTTATTGACCAACTTTCCTTAAGCTCATTCTGAAAAAGAAAAGCGAACTGTTGGTATTAAGGATTAGACTCTTAAAAACTTCAACTTTGCCATAAACTGTCCGTGTTTCCAGCTGATTCTTCAACAAGTGCATGACTTTGGCACTGTTTATGACTTTCAAATAATTAAAGCTGTATAGTACTTGTGCAGTAAAAAAATGAACTAAAGAAAGGATAATAAGAACCGTCGAGTTGTCAATTGCGTAAGAAAAGATAAAGTGATAAAAAGAAAAGACGAAGTAGATAAAAAACAGACAAAAAGACATGTTTTGCTAAAAAAAATCCTTTTATAGAAATTTTTGGAGAGAAATGAAGATAAAAAAAATGAAAATACTATTTCTGAGAATATTTAAAGATGCTATTCAACAGAGAATTGAAAACTTCAAAAAACAATTATACTGGAGAGATGCATCGAAAGTCTACAAGATTTGAGACAGAGACAAACTGTATAGAAGTTAACAATCGAAATTAATTTAACAGCTTATTTTAGAACTCTCCGTTGCACTACGCGACTGTAATTGGCCAAAAAGATATTGTAAAGTTTTTGTTGGAAAACAAGGCTGATATCAACGCGAAAGATGAATGGCAGGTAAAATTAATTTCTGAATAACAATAAATTTTGCATTCACTGCTCTTCTCATGGAATGAGTTTGAAGCTCTTACACTTCGAGGGCTCCATATATGCAGAAGAGAGGCCTGTTTGAAGCCTCTTTTTCACGCAAGCTGCGACGAGCTATTTCGCTGTCGCCGCAGCTAGGTGCACTTGAGAAGACATGTCGATCGTGTCAGCCTCACCTTATCACTAGAAAGTCTCCTTCCAGCGATGAAAATGTCTTATGTGCACTTGGAAATTTATAAGTAATATTGAGAGAATATGTACTAGTTTAACCTTCTGTAAGGGCAAGAATGCAGAAAGTTGTGTCGAGTGTGGAACAGCAGCATATGATGGTTCAAAAGATGAAGTCACGTAAATAACGCAAAAAAAAATGTTTAATCAATTAAGGTTGAGGTATGGCAGATTGGTCTAAAATTAATGTCATAATGGATCGAAAACGAAATCAGTGTGGTTCTACAAAAAGCACTTGTGGAGGTGATGCGAGATGAAGTGGTGTGTAGTGAGGAACGTTCACCGGGCGGTGGCCGCTGTAGCCTGCATTGAGCAAAGATTTTTTTTTGAGACATTTTCAAACACCTGTTCTTTGCTTCATTCCCGAACCTAAACGAAAAGCTTCTTTAATGCCCTCCAAATAATGAGATTCCTAGAAATTGAGCAGCTCGGTGGCCGATCAAGAGCTAATGAAGAAGGCACAGATTTTCATAGAGAACCCAGAGACAAATGATGACTTCTAGTTACTTT